TCTGGGCAACCTGTGCCAGGGCCTCCCCACCCTCACAAGGAAGAATTTCTTCCCAATATCCCATCTAACCCTGCCCTCTGGCAGTGTGAAGCCATTCCCCCTTATCACTACACACCCTTGGATAGCTGTTGGCACTTGGTGACACTGTTCTTTACTGGATTTTTCCCTGCAGCGCAATGTCCCTGTTGTTCACTCGTTCCAACTCAATAGTTGCAGTGAAGAAGGATAAAAGACACATGGCTGAGGTAAATGCTTCTCCACTTAAACATTTTGTCACTGCAAAGAAGAAAATCAATGGTATCTTTGAACAGTTGGCTGCTTACATCAACGAGAGCTCCTCGTTCCTGGAAGGTAAGCTCAGTTCTGGAACTACGAGTGTGTGACAGTGCTTTGCCCACAAACAGTGCTCCAAAACAGACACACCAAACCCCCTCATTCAGTTTAATAGCGCTGCTAGACCTGTGCTTATTTATACATGTGTGTCTTGTTTATGTATTCATGTTTATAAGAAAAACAGAAAATTATTTCTTTGAATTTGTTCAGGTGTTCAGCTTCATATTTTGAAGATGAGAATTTCATGCATGTTAGGAAACTGAGCTAGTTAGGGAGCTATGTATGATTTTTATGTTGTTTGGGAGATTTTTAATTAATTACACAACCCCTTTAAGGTTTTTTTGTCTATAATCCTTTCAGAGTTCTTGGCTGGACACATCACTGTTAGTGACATGTAACATATACCAGTAATTGGCTTTAACAGCTTAAGGCACAGACAGATTTTTTTCTTTAAGGGTGCTGGAGTGTTTGCAGTGTGGGCTGTTCTGTTTAAGGCAGTCCCAAGGACAGGGATGGTTTTTAGATACACAAAAGGGACCAGCTGATAAATGCTGTTGCAGAATTGCCTCAGGGTGTCATTGCCTGTGTGGAGATCACCCACGCGGGCTGTGGGACAGATAAATGTTCAGTTCTGTGTGTTACCATCACAGAGAGGGGTGGCATCCAGAACTGACCCAGAAATGGCTCCTGGAATTCAGAGACATGATCTGTTTTGATTCTAGAAACACACAAGAATGGAGAGCTTGATCCTGTCACCACAGAAGAGCAGGTACTGGAAGTCAAAGGCTACCTGTCAAAAGTCAGTGGTATTAGTGAAGTGTTGGCAAGACGACATATGAAAGTTGCTTTTTTTGGGAGGTGAGTCACGTGGGTGTGTGTTGCCTACACTCCCCACTCAGTGAAGCATTTGAGGATTGAAGCCAGTAGAGAATATTTATAGAAACACTAGTGCTTTAGCTTCTGCATGTCCCTGGCACTAGTGCTTTGTAAATTGGAAAGAAATATTGTATCATGTCATTCTTCAATTTGAAGAATTCTTACAATAAGAAACTAGCAGAGTCTTTTTGCAGGTTGCCTCTGGCACCTGAGTTGTTAATGGCTCTGGTACAGCTGGGCTTCAGAGAACTTGCTTTCTGTAAAATCTGGCTCTCGGAACCCTGCTACACCATTCTTAATCTGGCTGCAGGACAAGCAATGGGAAGAGCACTGTGATAAATGCCATGCTGTGGGACAAAGTCCTTCCTTCAGGAATTGGGCACACCACTAATTGCTTCCTGCGTGTAGAAGGGACAGATGGACATGATGCTTTCCTGCTGACTGAAGGCTCAGAGGAAAAGAAGAGTGTTAAGGTATAATTTCCTTAAGCATAAAGGCTCTTCAGAAATGGCAGAAAAGGGAAGGAACAAGAAAATTAAAGTGCTGTGAACAAATTTCACAATTAAGTATTTTAATCATTAAAGGAACAGAGATGAAGAATGAGTCTTTTTAGATGTAGGAAGGGAGAAATGAAGCAAGTCACAGGATGGAACTTGTTCATTTTATGAAAAAGATGATACGTTGTATTTGTCGGTGACAGCAGGGAGCAATGACTCAGGAAGTTCTGAGCTCTGTGTGACTGACAGAATCACAGACTTCCTGATAATTCCTCAGTAGCTTTTCCTGACAGAAAAAATCTCTCATAAACTCTCATTAGTGGTTGTCTTTTGACTAGGACACTCAAAAAGGTTTTATATGGAAAACCTCCCTGTGAGAAAGTAATTTGGAGTTGGGTTTTATCTTAAATTGTCAGTGCACAGCTCTGAAGGGGAAAGAATTGTGTTAGTGGGTCTTGGCACCCAGGAAATGTTATTTCCATCTTTTCATAGACAGTAAACCAGCTGGCTCATGCCCTTCATCAGGATGAACATCTGAATGCTGGCAGCCTGGTCAGTGTAATGTGGCCCAATTCCAAATGTTCTCTCTTAAAGGACGACCTGGTGCTGATGGACAGGTGAGAAATAGTTTTCTTTCCTTTCCTGCTTATCACAGACTAATTACGGAAATGTTTTCAAATACCTATTTAACAAACATCAAAGGGATTGACCTTGTTCTAATCTGTGACAGTGACCAAAGTCCTTTGCTGCAGTTGGCAGTCAGATTTTCTTGTCAGTACTTCCTTGGAGTCTGTACTCTTGTCACCTCAGGACAGGGTAGCTCAAATATGGGAAATTAATGCCCTGAAAAGCTGAAACACATCTCTTACTGACTTTTGTAATTCTGTTTTTGCTGTTTCCAAAGCACAGTAATGTCTCATTTCTCTTTATTGCTAGCCCTGGCATTGATGTAACCACAGAGCTGGACAGCTGGATTGACAAATTCTGTCTCGATGCCGACGTGTTTGTCCTGGTGGCAAATTCTGAATCAACGTTGATGCAAACTGTAAGTGCAAGTCCACTTCTGGGAATTTGGCTAAGGGTTAAAAATATTAATCTGAAGAGGTTTTGTTTAATTTTCCTTAGGAGAAACAGTTCTTCCACAAGGTGAATG